GCGCCCACACACAAGGAGATCCCGCCACACAGTGACCAGTCCATTGTGAGTCAGGAAACGGGCATAAACTTAAAATAACTCGGAACAATAAGCCTAAATGGCGTCATGGACGAGTGGCCCGACGTGGCGTCTGTCTCTCTGCCGACCTGCCCATCTGTCAGTCCGTTGGTCTACTCGGCATGCGCTCAACCATGCGGATAACGGAAAGTGTCAAGCGGAATTCCCTACTTGAAAGCCACCTACCTGCCCTTACTACCGCGAACTTGGTGAGAATGGGTCAAGTGAAAGCCGAGAAATCGGATCAGCCTGGGCCAAGGTTGCCTGGCCTTGGCACAGGGCAGGAAAGGTACCAACTCATGGACGAGCTAAAGCTCGGTCATGCGGCACAAAGGAAGATGATCCATGAGAAGTGAGACATGTTGAAAATTGTAAGATTGACAAGGTAGGCGCATAAAGGAAGCGCGGTCGAGGCAAGAAATGCCGGCTGAGGCGGCCCGAAGGCTAAGGCTGAAGTCGCGCAGGTATTGCAGAAACAAAGCGAGAAATCAGCCGACCAGAGGCAAAGGCAGGATCAATAATAGCTATATTAGAATTGACCAATCAGAGAGAGGCATGGTTGTCGCAATTGAGCCAATCAGAGGAGGACATCTGACCAGGCATAACAGTCACTTACTTGGAGTCTCAAGCCAAATAACGCCTTCGATAAGCAGCCTCGATCCAGGCTCGCATGGCCCTAAGAGATCGGGTTCTGTCATGGTCCCGCAGTCCGATGTGCTGGTGGCCACGTCCTTGTAGGGCCTCGAGGGTTCGATGGTCTGGCGGGGAAAAAAAGTAATTGCAAAGAGTAGTTGGGCTTGAATCAATCTCTTTGGAGGGCGTTGTTGTGCAGACTTTAATTTCGCATAAAGTGCCCGATCTGGAGGGCAAGAGGAGAAGAAAACGAACCAGCCGACGCCTCCTGACGACACATGGACAGGTCGCGCTGATGTGCACAATACGAAATGAAAGTCTGAACAACAACACGAAAAGAGGGCGGCACCGCGAAGGATGCTGCGGGACTGGGCGGGGAAACTCACAGATTTGAGTTGCGCCGAGGCGGCGGAAGCGGACAGAGACGCGGACGAAGACGCGGAAGCCGACGCGGAAGCCGACGTGTGTGGGTCCTGTTTCACAATAGATCCAGTGAGAGGCACAAAAGAGGCGGTGGAGGAGAAGACGGAGGCTTTGGCGCCAGGGTCGGCACACGTAGATCCTGTCAGAGAGGCGGCGGGGCATGAAATGGGGAGAGTGGGCGCGTCGACTTTATGGGATTGAGGAGCATTCCATCTGATGGTCATTTTAAGGGGGGGGGCAGGCGAGGCCGACAAGGGACTGGAGCATCGTGTCTGTCCGTTGACGAGGTGGAGCGCGGCCGCGGGCCCCTCGGGGGGGTGCGGCAGCAGCGGGGAGAGATGAGCCAAGCCAGGGACGGCGTGGAGGGAGGCCGGCGACGACGAGGAGGAGGAGGAGGGTAATGGCAGCGGCAACGGCGGAGGCGAAAGGAGGCCCGAGGAGCGTCGGCTCTTGTTTTTTTTCCTGATTTTGTTGGCCGCCTGCTGCTTCTGGTTGTGGTTGTGGTTGTGATGGTGGTGGTAGTGCTGGTGGTGCCGGTCTCGGTCCCGCTCGTCCTCGCGTGTCTGGTCGCGGTCGTGCTCGTGCTCGTGCTCGTGGTCGTGGTCGTTGTTGGTGTGCGTCGGAGACATGGAATCGCCGTTGACCGAGGCCTTTTGCCCGGCCGGGTTGACCAGTCCGGCGCGTGAGACCGCGTTCAGCGTGGAT